AACAGGAAGGGGACGCCGATGCGCTTCCGGGACTGTGGCCGCCTGCGCCAGACCGGTCCCGCCCGGAACAGCTCTCCGAGCGCTGCAGCCAGAGCTGGCCAGCAGTACAGGAAAAGAAGCGAACCTACCCTTGAAGGCTGTAGACTTCTTTTTAAGTACGTTTTCGAAAAATTTCGCGATGGGGGAATAAAAAGAAGAAAAAGATGTTTCCGCCCGGTTTCGAACCGGGGACCTTTCGCGTGTGAGGCGAACGTGATAACCACTACACTACGGAAACCCGTGAGGACATCCCCTTTCCCGGCTACTAGTTCTTCTTCCTAGACGCGCCCTCTGTCTACAGCCCAGAGAGGGTGCGCGTTATCCGATATGCGCATGTGTGTCGGTAAGGCCTTAGATTCCCAGAAGCCAAGGACAGACTCAAAATTCGCCTGAGCCTACTTCCTGCGTGATTTTTTTTCCACAAGCGGCTGAATGGGAGAGCGCAGAAAGAAGACTTTAGTAATCTTTCAGAATGACCACTATTATTGCTTACTGCGAGCATCAAGATTTGAAAGTCTTTCTTCCCCTTGGTTTGTTTACTTCAAACTCAAGGCTCAACCCGAACGGAGTAGGCGCGGCCTGGGGACGGCGCGCATTCTCGTTTGCGCCACCGCGTGGCCTCACTCGGAATGCGGAATTTGGTTTGCAAATCACTGATGGTTCCAGGTGTGGTCAGAAGTGTGGCCCTAGTGTAGCCAAGACCTCAGACTTGACTTCACGTTAGTTTTCCTCCTCCACTGAGCATCCGTGGGGTCAGGAAAGGACAGAAATAAGATAAAACTAACGAGCGCCAAGCCAGCTAGGAGTCGAACGTGGAGCCTTCTGATAGGTAGTTAGGCGCTTTATCCGTTGCACCACTTACCCCCCGATGGTGCGCACATGGTGGGGCTCCCTTATAAAGAAACAGTTTCTGTCCCCATCCTTTCTGCATTGTCTTGGTCTGGAGCTAGAAGCCGCGCGTGCCTGCCTGGCCGTCTCGCGCACACGCACTTCGTAGAGTCCACGGCTGCGCCGGCCCGGTGGTCTTCGCTCTGGGTCTGCGGTTTCTGCTCAGCCAGAAATGGCGACGAGAGGAAAACTCGCCCCCTCTGGCCCAGCTCCCCTCTCCATTCATGCAGCCAGTCTTGAGGCCAGCACTGTCACCCTCGCTCCTAGAGATGAAACTGTTCCGAAAACTCATGGGACCCTCCCCTCAAAATAAAGATGCTTTTGAGAACGATAGTAAAGCACTAAACAAATAAATGATAAGGCTCGAGGAAAAATAATAAAAATAGGTAAAGGGCTTAGGACATTGAAAATTGTCGTAGGGTGGCATGATCTGATTTTTGTCTCGTCTCTCTGTAGGTTCTTAAATTTTTTCGTTTCCAAATACTAAATCAGATTATGCTAGCACCGACTCCATGTTGCTCCTACCGCAGGACATCTCAGAATCTGACATCTTTAAAAGGATCATTGTCAACCGCACACGCACGAACGCTTTTTCAAAGCAAACAAGTGTCGCGTATGTAAGGCTTGAGAAGGAATTTCTGAGAAGGAATCATTATCCCGCAATGCCTGGGGCGCATTAGAAATGAATCGAGGTCTGTTGCCTGATCCTGAGCATAAGCGTGTTGAGAAAGAAAAAATATTTGTTGTCATTTCATACGGTTTCAACAGTCCTTACAAAAATACGTGTTTCTGCTCTTTGTTTTGTTCGGTACTGGGGATCGAACTCAAAACCTTGCTCTTGTGAGGCAGGCAGCATCATCCCTAAGATAAAAACCCAACTCCATGTTTCTACTTCTTGCACAGGAGTGCTAAGGTAGAGACCTGTATGAATTCCTCCCTATATATGCACAAAAATTAGAGTTCTTATCCAAAAATTAGAGTTCTTATCCCCAGCTTTTCTAACAAGGATCCCTAACAAAGCTTGGCAATATTGGAGTCAATCTCAGAATAATACTTTTAAATATACAAGAAAAGATAAATATATAAGATTTCAAAAGAAAGAAAATTATATTTAAAATGTTAAGATATTTTTAAATTATAACATATCTGTGTTCTTTTATTTTGTTTTTTCTTGTTATTTTGTTTTATTATTGCACTAGATGATAATATCCAGCCCAGGTGGGGAAGGTCTAATAAATACTGTTATTTTTTTTTTAAATACTGTAATTTCAAAGCAGTAACAAATACAAATGATGTTTTAAGAGATTTGCAACCACTATATTTTGATGTGAAAATACTTGTGATTTCCAGTAATGATATTCATGAAGGCTGAAATACAACTGTGATTTGTTGCCTGCATTCATAATGGAAACTCGAAATTTTAGTAATAAGTTAGTGAAAATAAAAATTTATTTTCCCATCTAATTTCACAGATCCCCATGAGCTTTTTTTTTTTTTTTTTTTTCCTACCCATGAGTCTGGAAACATGAACATTATGCCCCAAGTTTTCAGAAACGAAACAAACTGGAAGATCTTCTGGTCCTATTTAACCTCATCATGCAACCAGGACCTGGAAGCCAGATCCTAAGGTATCTCTGAAGTCCCAGGTTCACAGGAAACTCTATTTCCACAATGGCTTTAACCCAGCTGGCTGCAGGCTCTGTCCACACTGGCCCTCCTCAGTGCTGGTCAATAAAGATATCCCTTTGTTTTGCAGATATTGAATGCATTTCTTGGCTGCTTCTAATTTTGTCAGCCATGTTCACAACAAGGTATGGTTTTGAGAAGGAGATTAAGGAGTGACAAAGCAAGCTGTGGTAGTAGGTGGACCTCTTAATTACAAAATCCCAGGACCCATATTCAGAACAGTGCCCAAAGCCCTGCACTTGTCTTGCATGAACTGGAGCAGGTTTTCTAGGATGACGTAGCTGACCTCACCCTGAGGAGTGAGTGATACAAGAAGGACTGTCCACAGTGAGTTTTTGCCAGTGTTCTGTCTTGCATGGTGACCCACCCTCACACTGTTAAGTGTACTTCTACTCCTACTTTTATTTGGCTCAAAGTTGCTCTGCAGAGTCTGTTTCTTCTACATTTAATAAAACATTGCTGCCCTTTGCACTTGTCTTGACCAATTTTTGGTTCAGGATAGAAAGAACCCAGAAATCACCTCCAGAAGGGAATTCCAGCACCCTAAACCTGTAAACGACCTTATTTGAGATAATCTTTCTCTTGAGTATAACTTTTTTAACAGTTCCAGTGCCATGCCGGTTGTGGCACTGTCTTTTCTCTGGTAATTGCACCAGTCAGAGAGAGTCCAAAAGAAGAAAAGAAGATATTCTAGTAAGCAACTATGTATTGGAGGGAGAATAAATATTTGCAGGAGTTGCCAGTTTACTGATTTGCAGACCTGAAATTTGTAGAGCAGGCCAGCCAGCTGGAAACTCTCAGATAAGTTGATGTGGTAGTCTTGAAATAGAGTTTATTTGTCCTCAGAAAAGCCTTGATTTTTTTTCTCTTAGTCCTATAACTGATTTGATGAGGCCCATTTGCATTATTCAGGATAATCACTTTTATTTAAAATTAACTGATTGAAAATTTCTTTGGAACACCATCTAGACTGGTGTTTGAGTAATTAGGCATTCTAACCCAGCCTGAGGACACGTAAAAACATGTTGGGGGAGTGATGACCTTTTATTGCAGGTAGAAGTGCCAATGGCTACCTTGTGTAACAAGACCTTTAGTCGTTGATACAGCTTAGAAATACTGATGTGTTGGTTTGGGCACAATCACCAGAACAACAGATCTCAAAACAGCCAATCATAATTACAGAGATCACTTAGGAAGTTGTTTCCACAGCTCTGACAACACTTTCTACTGTTCAGGTTTTCTACGTATGGTTGCAGTGTGGGAGATCTTTATCTTTTTCTGAGATTAGGGTGTTAATTGTTAAAGTCTTGCATTTTTAAGGCACGACCTTGGAATTCTATTAGTTAATCTTATAAGCAAGAAGCTTGTAAACCAGTGAAAACTAATTTTATGAAAAGAAATGGGTTAAGAATGACTAGAATCTTGAATTCCAGATTTTTTAAAAGCCATAAAATAAGCTTGCTTCCTCGGGGACCTATTCTTGGTGCTAGGAGTGCTATGGTGTGAGCTCATCGCACATCAGGAATGTGCTGTGTGAGCCCTCATTTGCTTCCCCCCACGCCCTGCTGGTGCTTTAGCCGCGGCAGAATGAGCGATAGATGCCTGCTCTTCATTAACAAAACTAAAAACAGTAAAGGAATAAAAGCAAAGATCATTCCTTTTCCTTATTGATTTGAACCCTAGCAAGAGCACAGGCTCCGTGGCTTAGCTGGTTAAAGCGCCTGTCTAGTAAACAGGAGATCCTGGGTTCGAATCCCAGCGGGGCCTTTTTGTGGTTTTCCTGTGTGCAGTAGTGCTCAAGGTCTATTGCCATATACTATGGGAGGTAATTTTCATCCACGAGGCTTCACCGAAGTGTTTTATATAAATCTAAGGGTGGATTAAACCCCCCCACACATTTGCAAAAGGAAACAAAAATGAACTTGGTTCACTTTCAGAAAAACGCATTTCTGCTTTTTGGCAAATACCAAAACAGGGACAGCGGAAAGCAAAGTGACCAAATTCTTTCTTTCCTGGGGAATTCCCAAGGGATGTTCTTTGACTCTCCAAAGTGTTTTCAGAAAGGTCAGTCTTTGAAACAATTGAGACCTCTGTTTTTGAGAAGCTTACCACTTCTGACAATTCATAGCAGCCAGTAAAATCCTATAACACAGTGATTAACTATAAACTTTTTTTTTTACTAATCTTTCTTCTCATGGTGAAATCTGGTTTTTCAGGCTCAGAAGATAGACCTCACCGAAAATCAGGCAGGCTGGGTCACTGGTGCACACGTCTAAACTA